TAGGGCTCAGCAAATACAGCACAAGCAGTGCAGCTCAAAGCACGTTTGCCAGCAGGCAGTGACTCAGAAAACAAGCTGGCCAGCAAAAGAGCCAGTTAGCAAACCAAAGCAAGAGAAGACAGACCCCCAGTGATGGTGGTCATTGCATAATCACTCTGCTTGTTGTGCCAATTGTTGTGGTCATCCCAGAGAAGAGGGGGTCTGACCCAAAACTTGGTTCAGATGTTGAGACTCATGACCCTATGCACATACCAAGTGGGTATGAAAAGGTTTATAACTCACATAATGAGGCTTTCTGGGGAAAGCAGTGTGGGTTCCTAAGCAGGTCCAGAAATGGCTTGAGCGAGCAAGAAAAGGAGACAGGCTTGTTTTTCACGGTGGTTTGAAGGTAGGGTTGGGGTGAGGGTTCCCATGCATGGGCTAGGGCTTGTGCGGTTTGACCTTGCCACTGGCACCAAGGGTGGAGGTACTCGATCTTTCTTATCAGCATGTCCAGACGTGGGGCAGATCAAGGGGAGTGGTGGGTTTTGAAAGCTGTGGGCATCAAACATCAAAAATGGAGTAAGACTCTATTACAAAGTTATATTGAGACTGCAAGACTCATTTGGCTTAGGCTTTTGAGGGAGAGCAATTTGATATTATTTCAGGATTTTAAAAAGGCAGAAAATTTATTTCTGAGACAATGTCATCAGGGATTCCCAGTAAGGAGATATATTAGAATATGCGGAGGGGGTGCATTTTCAATCTACACTGTCTCCCTCCACCTCGGTGCCCCCTCAGGTCTCCAAGGAGACTCTGATCCATATCTTACCACCTCCATAAAAATGAAACCTCATTGAGCCACGGTTACTCATAGCAGTAAGTGATACAGCTTAGGGCAGGAAAAAGAGAACCACTTGCATTACTTCAAGGAAGGGTCGTGGACAAATGGATCACTTTAGACCTTTGAATTTCTTTACTGCCCCCTCACTCGTGTGTGGTTTGAACTTGCTGCTGGTACCAACTTCTCGCTCTTCCCTGTAATGTTGCACCTTTGTTCATCATATTCCCTCTACCCACAAGGCCCTTCAGCAAACAGATCCTCTCAACTAGAAACAGTCTTTTCTCAAACATTTGGCACTCCATTTCTACCTTGTACCATTTGTCTTATTTCTCAGTGTATTTGTATTTTTTATATACCTCATCTCTCCAGCCAGACCACAAGCTACCTGACTGCAGGATTCATGACTGATTTATCTTTGCAATCAGTACTCATATAATTATTGCTAATAACAATAAATAGGAGATGTCTTACATGTGTTTAATGAATGAATGAATAAATGAATGGAATCTCAGATCTTAAGATTCTGTGAAAATATACAATGGCATTATCGTTATAACTAGGTAAACTGAGTAAATCAGCAAAAGAAAATCCTGGTTTTATTTGTATCGGACAGACACTCATACAAACTCTTCATGTTTTCAATCAGGATTTCAGTGAGTTACTAAATAATTTTCCTTTTGGGGAAATAGACTTTTTCCTCACCAGTTTCATATAATCCTTCTATCACAAAAATGAGGGCAACCTTCAAATACATTTAATTTACTACAATTTTAAAATATTTACCACTACTGAAGGTATATGAAATGTCTGGAAGCCTGCTAAGTGTTTTACATCCATCCTTTCTTCAGAATAATGTATTAAATAATATATTTTTACTGCTAATGAGGAAACTGAGGCTGAGAGGCTAAATGACAGTGGTCAGAGAGCTAGTTGAGTGGGGAAACCAGGACTGAACTCAGGCCTCCATGCTTACAAAGCCCAAGTTTTAACTACCATATGTTATATTACCTCCACCTAATAGTGAGATTCATGGCTTCTTTTAATTTTTGTAATTATTTTAATGAATGTTGATCTGGAAGAAAAAAAATCCTCTTATGCTAGCCATCCACAGGAATAAACAAGCATGTTTCTGTGTCAAATATATATATAATGTATGTGTGTGTATATATAGTTTTCTTGACTCCATTTAACCTCTCACAAAGAGTCAAGATGCCATCCTAAGTACTTTAATCAAATAATTAGCCTTTAGGTTTTATGCAGCTTTCCTAGTGGGATACATTGAGGTGAATGAGTTTTGCTTCTGCCGCTCCAGCAATCCCACTCTTCCTCCAAGAGGCTTTTAAATTAAGAAGCTGAGCTGCTGCATCACCGATACGGGTCTAAAATCTCCCCCAGTGTTCACTTGAAAGATCTGCACCAGTTCACCACAAGGGGAAGGAAGCCTTTGCACCCTACAATGGAAGTCACATTTTCTGAATTAGCTTTTACATATACTATCCCATTAATATCTTTTAACTCTCACAACAGCCTTTTAAAACATAAACTATCATTTCCTTTTACCAGATGAGAAAACTATAGTTCAACAGAGCGACAATAGTTAGTAAGTGACCCAAGGTCACAATAGTTGGGGTAGAATAAGCAGTTGGACCAAGGTGGAGCTGACAACCAAGTGCAGGTTCTTTCTACTACTCTAATGTAAACACAATAGAATTATAGCAAGAATTATGCAAAAACATTGGGGACAACTCAACCACAATTCTAGTTGGTTAAAAAATTAATTAAAATCATGGAGCCAGAAGGTCATAGAGCCAGAAGGGATTTTAGTGATGATCCAATCCAACCTCCTTATTTTATAGACGGGGAAACTGATGCAGAGGTATTGTGATCACCTGAGGCCACACAGCGAGTTGAGAGGCAGAGCTGTGATTCAGACCCCGAAAGTCCAGTGACTTTCCTACTAGATTACACTGCCAGTCCTGGAGGTGCTTCGCTAACTTCAGACTTAGCCAGGGTACCATGAATATTAACGGTATTGACAAGCTATAGCCGTAGGTCTGGAGTATAAGTGTGTATTTTGCTAACCAGCCTCCTACCTCACCACTGCTCTGCTTGTAAAATTCATCCAGGCATCTGCTGTTTCATGTCTATAATCTGTTTTGAGATCCCTTGAGGGGCTACACGTCCTGAGTGCAAATCAGCAGCCTACTCAGGTGCGAGGTAGAGCCATGAGCTTCGCACTAGGCTCTGCCTTCCATTTCCCTCCTACAGAGCTGGGTAACACTTTACTTTTAAGAGGCCATTAATTAGTAGTAGATTAAAAGTACAGCTACTTAAGCATTACTTGCCTTCCCCACAGGAACACTGTAAGACTCAAGCCAAGTTTATCTTACTGATTGCAATAATGGACTGCCCCTCTGTGGACTATCTCAGGCTATAGCGTACACTGGGATTGCCCCTCACTGACTCTGTCTACATCTGGCCTTTGAGGAAGTTCAGGGCAATGGGACACTGGATTTCAAATACTTCACACAGGAAAGACTGAAATAATTTATGAGAGAGTAGACACCTTACTATCATTTATCATTAAATTATTCTTTTCTGAACACTTGGCATTGTGCCTGGCCCACAGTAGGTACTCAATAACTATTCAATGAATCATTGCTCCAAAACCTTGTGTTGTATATAATTACTCAGAATGATGAAGGAAAGTGGGGACTTAACCAAGCTGTAAGTCACTTGTTTGCCTTTAGTTCTTTCTATACCTTATTAAAGGGCTTGCCTGAGGATACCTTCTTATTCAACGTAAGGGGGCTATGTTAGGAAGACTCAGGTAACTGGAGGGCCCATCATCACCATCAAGTCAAGTCAATCACAGCCAATTGAAAACTGAGGACATACTCTATATTAGGCACCAAGTTATATGCTTGTAGCTAGAGACTGAAGTTAGCCCTCAATAAAGCTCAGATACAACATATGGGCAAATAATTGCAACATAAACATAGTTATTTATACAGTAATAGAAATATGAACGAGGTACAGTGATAGGTAGTAAAAAGAAACAGATGACCAGATTATTCGGAGACTTGAGGCGAGGGGAGGGAATGTCTGAGAAAGGTTTTAGTTGCCCAATAGGAACCTGTAAAATAGGAAAGAGGGAAGGTATTGTTTGGAATGGTTGGACAGCCTCACGCCACTCTCTGGCACAACTCAATGGAAGAAGATAATAATAGCCATCACTTATTGAGTATGCCAAGACTGGACAGGGTATTTTCATAGCTGTGATCTCACATCCTACGCCCTTCCGGGAGGCAGGGATTGTTTTCACCATTTTTCAGAAGAGGAAGAGTTAAATGACTTGCCCATGGCCACATGGCTAATAAGATGGAACTGGAAGATAAGCAATGTTGTAGCTCATTGGTTTTCAGCAAGTGATCTGTAGATTCACAAGTCTTGCAATGGTACACAGGAGGTTAGCTGAGGGGGTAAAGCCTGTTCTCCAGGCCACAAACCTGCTTCAACCAGAGCAGCTGCTCTCTGATTGATGTATTTTACACGAGACTTGCACGTAAGACTATTCGAATAAGGGTACTGCTGCTTAAAAAACAAAACTGTTGTAATTGAGCAAATTAGTTTCTTGGGGCTATACCCTACAATTTAGTCAACATGGTAGATAATTGAAAATTGACGGTACTAAGCACAGCCTAAAATATTCACGTCAAAGAAACAAAAACATGTAGACCACAATTATTTCCATGTGAGACAGCAGATACCTGCTGTACTTGAGGGCCAAGGCATGAATGCAGCTCAGAGATGGGGTAGACCTAAATGCTAAATGCCAGTAGTGATAGCACTCCCTTCCAAAAGCATCGGCAGCTAGAGGATTCCTGGTCTCGTTTACCTCAACCCAGCCTACGATATTATATTCATTTCTCTGCTGCAAACCATGTGCCAAAGGCTTCAGCCACTGTTCCTGCCTCAGCAAGTCCCCCACTGACAGCAAAGACAGATCTCCTGCTGCCAGGTGCTACCACAGATAAAGTGGCTCTAATAACTATGGAGTCATTTGTGATGCTCTTTTAATTGGATCAATTTCCTCTCAATTACACAATCTTTGAAAATCAGATACATTTCATAATCAGAACATGGGGCTTTCTCCAGGTGAAAAGCACAAGACAAACTAGCTTAACATCACTTTATTATTTTCTTTCCTATCCTTTGGCAGCTTTCACAACAGAAGGCAAAAAAAACACCACTACCAAAAAAACAATTTTGAGTGGCTCAGCTTAGCAAACTTTGCTTCCATGAAAGCAAGGTAATAGATTTTTGGCTTGCCTTGAGCCCTGCACCTAAAGAACAAGATATGTTGCTTGCTAAACACCAAAGCCCGAGGAACCTTGTCACAAATTCCCTCAACCACTTCTGGTCTTAAAAGCACAAAGTGTCTTCCTTTTTTGAACTGTAATCATAAGGATAAAGCAGATAGTGGGGGCTCAATTTAGAAGAGGGTGTTAGTGACTCTAGACCTTGGGGACTGACTCTACATATGTATGTGGGAGTAAGATTTGGATTATCTTTACATAATGGTGCTTTTGGCTGAATTTTGACCTGGGTGGATCCTTAATGCTCTCAAGGAATGCAGTGTCAGATATGGAAGCAAAACAGCATTGTACAACTTATCCCTCTCCTCACCTCCCAAATCCCTTATTTAATTAAAAGACGTGAACACCAGTGATGAAGAAACAGTTATCAATTATTTAATGCTTGATAGAGGAATGGAAATAAATCCCAGAACCAAATGTTATGCACTCACTTGAGGAAAATACAGAATAAGGATCCAACAGTTTTCTGTTTTAGTAATGAAAATGAGATGTGCCCACCTCCCCACTTTGTTGGCCCTGGCCTGTGTTGTACAATTCTGCAGACAACTCTTCACACAGGTCAGTGGAGAGAGAGAGTAGGAAAAATGAGGAGCCTAGAGACTGTCCAAGAGTGTTCGCTGACTGTATTAGCATTTCTGTTTGTTTATTCTCATCTTCCTATGCTTTGGGATAATTTCAATCCATATGTTCCTTTGAAAGGCAAGCAATACCCAGGCTAAAGTCTTCAACACCAACCAAGTAGGGTCAAACCATCCTCTGTCACATCTGCACTTAGAGACCAATCCAAGATGACACAAAACCCCCAGAGCCGAGACGTCCTGTAATCTCAAAGTGATCAAAGGGACTGTAATCTCTCTTGGTGGTGCTAAATGAATGAGCTTTCACACTGGTAAAGGTGACCAGACCTGAGACATCACGCCACAAGGATATGATGTCTGAAATGTCACTGACAGGTGGAGCAGATCCCACTGGAGCATGCACACTGAATGCAGCAGAGTTGAAGAGAAAGTGTCACAGATGAAGCACATTGTAATAGGAAGGAAATAATGGACCAGGGTCATTAAAGCCAAAAGAGAGGAAAATCAACAAAGATTCACTACAAGGGCAAATTTCAAATACAAGGGCAAAAGGCTCTCTACTGAAGCCTTGGAAGTGCCTAAGTTCTAATTAAACTTCAGCTAACCCCATTATGTGTCCTATTTGGGGCAATGCATCTGTTAAAGCTCTATATTTAGGGGGAAAAATAATGCAAATAAAAAAACTAAAAGAGCTTCTAAAATTCTAAGACTAGCCAGCTGGAATCAGGACACAGGCTGGGTGTACTCTATGGTACCACCAACAACCAATGAATAAGGGAAGAGAAGTTGGCTGGGGAACAGGAGAAATTGATATTTCTGACCCCCTAAGGGGTGGAGTATCTTCTCAGATGGTAGCTATAAATCTTGATGCAATGATCCCAACAGTCCAAGACCAGCAGCTGCCCTTTAGGAGTGAGGGCAATGCCCACTGGACAGGTGAGCCCCTCTCGAATAAGGACACTATAGCCCCCACCCTTAGGAAAGTGGAGAATTTCCTTGCGACTACTGTCAGCCACGATGAGATCACCACGAGCATCCACACACATGCCAGCAATGCAGCGGAAATCCTCATTCTCTGAGAAGAAGTGGCTAATCTGGCGACCCAGCTGCCCATCGGGGCCCACAGAGCCAATGGAGAAGCCACCCTCCAGGTGGTGCTCATTCTGCCGATTCTCCAAATTGAGGCCCAAGCCCTGGGTGAAGTAGACGGTGCCCTCAGCATCACAGGTGACAAACTTGGGCCGCACGGCACTGCAGAGGCAGCTGTATTTGACCACCCCTGCTCCTCGGTCAACAGTGAAGCACCAGAGCTTTCCACCTTCCACGTCAGTTACCACGAACTGGCCAGATGGAAGGGCTGTGATGCCCCAGGGTTTGCTCAGCTGGCTCCTGTGACATGCCACACAGTGGCCATCCAAGGTGTACACCTTGAGGGAGTTGTCATAGCTGTCAGTCACACCAATCAGCCCATGGCAGTTCATGGCCACTGAGAGAGGAGTGAGATTGGGCAAATCAGCCCCAAGGAAACTCAGCACAAAGCTATCAATGCCACTGGGGCTGCGGCGGATCTCCTTCAAAAAGCCTTTGCGGGTAAAGACTTGTATACGGTAGTTGCCGCGGTCGGCAACCAGCACCTCACCTTGACTGGTCACGTAGAGACTGACCGGAAGGTTGAACATGCCTGGAGTGCTGCCTTTGGCCCCCATCTTCTTGAGAAAGAGACACTGTTGGATATTGGTGGCTGTCTCGGAACCCCGCTGCTTAGCAGGCGAGGCCCTAGGGCTGGAAACCACTTCCTCGGGGCTCAAGTCCATCTCTTTAAATGTAACAGAGGTAGAGGCAGCAGAGGCTGCAGCCTCCACGGCCCAGGAATCTTCCATGTTGACTGTCCGGGGCTTCTTAGCAGCCTGCCCGATTTGGAGAGGGCCCACGTGGCCGACCTTAAGGAGCTCCACATCCTGCAGGGTCAGCTCCCGGGGCAGGCTGGCAGTCAGCTCTGGCTCCTCCTCATCAGCTGTCTCCTCCAGTAGTGCTACGTCTGCCTGCTTGATCTTGGCCAGGAAGTAGTCACAGCGAGACACAGCCTGCACCTCTGCAATGTTAAGCAGGTAACTCTGCTCCTCTATCACCTGACTGTTGGACTTCTCAACCTCAGCCAAGGAGCCTGTGAAGAACTTCCGGGAGCGAGCTAGCTCTTCCTGGACCCTGCGCTCCTCGTGCCCATACTCCTGGAGAACTGCTTTATACCTTGCCTGAAGGTCCTTGGAGACACCTTCCAAGGCCACCTTCCGCCGCTGCAGCTCCCCCGTAAGCTCCCGCAGACGGGCCAACTTCTCACCAAAGTCTCGACGCCGCTCCTCAGCTGCCTCTTTCACAGGGAGCGTACAGTGGCCCGGAGGCTGGTGGTCCGCCTCCCGGCAGGGCTCACATAACACCACGCCACAGCTCCGGCAGAACTGCCGGGGCAGCCGCCGCCCACAGGACCGGCACATGAGCAGCCCCACAGCCTCACTGAGCCCCGCTGTGTCGATGATCTTCAGCACTGTCAGGTTGTCTGTCAGCTGGGTCAGGCTGGTTATGCGGGTAATCTTGCTGCAAAAGGGACAGCGGACACCGTTGATGCTACTGGCCAGTAGCTTCTCCAGGCACTGGCGGCAGATGGTATGGCCACAGTGCAGGAGCTTGGGCCGCAGCTGCTCCTCTGAGAAGGACTCCATGCAGATGGGGCATTCCAGCACTTCCCGCAGGGCATCCAGGTTCAGGTGAGACGCTGCTGCTGCGGCCATTGCTGTTCCTTTGAAGGGTCCTGCTAGCACAGCCCAGGACTGAAGAGCTTAGTATTCATGCTCCAGAAGATCAGATCCTGCTAAAGAGAAAAAGAAGCCATTATTCCATTGCCTATAGGAATTAATTCACTCCTGAAACATTCAGAGAATAGCTACCACCACTCATTCAGACACTGACTTATTTAACAAATATGCATCGTGTTAGGTGATGGTGATACACAGGGAAACAAAACAGACAAGGCATTGCATAGTGGATAAAAATTCAAGTTCTGGAGTCTCTGATACTTACGTAGTTGTGTGACCTTAAAGAAGTAACCTAAACTTCCCAAAGCTGAGTTTCCCCATCACCCATCTGTAAAATTGAAATAATAATGGTGTCTACTTTAGATGGTTTTTGGAAGGGGTAAATAGCGTGATGAATATGATGCACTTAGTATAGCACCTGGAAAGTAGTATGCTGGATAAATGTCCGTGATTATTTTTATATTTTGTGAAGTCTACAACTCATAATTTATATTAGGAGAAAAGCGTAGAAAACTTATGTATAGGAAAGGATTACACACAAAGTTCTGCAGGAGCACAGTGGGTGGAGTAATGAACAGATTCTGCCTAGAGGAACGGGGGAAGGCTTCCCAGAAGCAGTGACACTCCTGAGATATGTCTTGAAAGAAACAAGGCAACGAGGTAGATAAAGGCCTTTTAAGCAAAGAAAATGGAGTGAGCAAAAGCATGGAAGCTTTTTTATCATGTTGTATAGAGTTTATGATGTCATATTTGGGGGTCTATGGATCATCCAGAGAAATAGAAAATGATGATGATTAGCTTTAGATGATCAGCAAAACGTTAGATCAGAAAATACATGATTTTCCATTCATTTATCCTCCCATCTACTCACCTACCCACCCATTTAACACTAGGTACCATGTACTATACTGATACTGAGGTTTTCAGGACACAGATTCTGCCCTTCAGGTGCTCCAACTTCAGGAAAGGAGCCAAGACGTTAGGTAAATGATAATCAAGGCAGAAAGTAGTATCATAAATGAGATATAAATTAAGTTTGATGGGGGCTGAGGGATTCACTCTAACTTGAAGGGGAACAGAATTGTCTAAGGGGAAATGGCACTTCAAAGGCACCTGGAAGGAAGCACAGATGTGTGGAGATGGGGGAAAGGGAGTACCAGGCAAAGGGCACAGTCTTAACAAAGGTTAGAGAGAAGGGAAGGGACAAGAACTCCTGTGTAGGAGAAAGAGAACAGAGAACACGCAGCCTCTCTGGGTTTGCTTCCTCAGCTGTAACAGGAGAATAATGCCGCCTTCACAAGGTCAATGTAAGGATTAAATAAGATAGTATATGTAGTGTATAAAGTGCTAAGATTTGGCTCAGCACCAAAAAAAAATCTTAAATTTTAGTTCTCTTTTATCCTTAGGTTAAAATTTTGGGAGAATATAAGGGGATTATAGCAACTGCTTTGGAAATTGGATAATGATGATAAAAGTCTTCAGAGGCAAAATGAGACCTGTGAACTTCATTTTGATGGGCATAGTGAAGGAATGCATGTTTTGGAGCAGGGAACTGATATGGTCAAAGCTTGAATGGAGTGGAGGAAAAGGCAGAGCAACTAGTTTGGAAGCTACTGCAAAACTGCCTGGGGGAGGTAATGGGGAGCCTGAACTAGGCAGCAGGTAGTGGAAATGGAAAGAAGATGCATTTGAGCAATATTCCAGAAGTGCAATCACTAAGAAACCCACTGAGTGGGTCAGGATGGGGAAGTGGTGGAGCTGAGACAGCCAAAAGACTCAAGCCTAGATGATTTAAAAAATGGTAGTGCCTCATCAAGACAATTTATCTCGGACCTGGAACACCCCCGGCTTCACACAGTACATGCCATGAACATTCCCACCCTCCTCAACCCACAATGCTCATGAAGTAGAACCAGAGAGATCTCAGTGCTCTGCAGCCTTAAGTCATTGTCAATTTACACCCCAAATTAGAATGCAAGATCTAATAAGGTGAGGCACATGGGTAAATTTAGCTCTTCTTCAATGCAAATCCTACCCTGTGCAGTCTCATGATCTGCGGATGGTCAAGCATCAAGGAGAAGGAGGAGGTGGAGGGCAAGTTTGCTTGGTTTCAAGGACAATGCAGCAAGCTGAGGAAAGCTTTGCAAATGTCATCAACTGTTCCTCCAGGCCAACAGAAGACGGGGAGTCAATGCAGAGAAACATATTACAAATTTCCCCCGTATTTAGCTTTGGGATGCAATCTGACAAATATTCAGTTAGCAGACATACACAGTTTATCTGAAGTCAATCCCACCTCCCTGAAATTCCACTTCTCTTTTACTGGACGTGAAATAGTATACATCTAGTACCTACTATGTGCTACATACCATGCTAAATGCTTCATATAATCACATTTAATCCTCATAATAACCCTTTGAAGTAGGTACTATTTTTATTATCCTATTTTACAGAGGAAGAAACTAAGGCTCAGAAAAACTGACTCAAGGTCACATAGCTCAACCATGGTGGAACCCGCAAAAGTTACGTTTAACTTTGTTTAACCCCAAATTACTTAACACTATTTTTTTTTTTTTTTTTTACTGTCATATAACACTTATCGACAAGTGCTCTCTAGACCACACTCGGGGAAATGCAGCCTTATAGCATATAATTTTATCCACAAGGAAGAAGGAACAATAATAAAGTTATGAGATTTAGCTGCTGTAGACTGCGTTAGATTGATTTATTAGCTGAGTGACCTACTCCCACACATCAGCCTTGCAACCTATTATGACTCAAATCCATGCCTCAACAAAATGACACATTACCACATATGAACGTATAAGATCTCATGTGGATATTGGAAACTGGGAATGCTGAATTCTTAAATGCCGTAAGTCTAGGGGCCATAATACAGAAATACTGATAGAAAACTCAGCTCAGGATCCAGGCAAACCTTCTCAATTCTAAACCAATAAAATAGCTTCAGTGCTCTCTTCCATCATCTGGGGCAACAGACTGAGGGCAACATTTGGTGTTTGGATCCAGAGCATGTTACCTTACAAAGCATAGGGACATCTGTTCTTCCCAGAGCTGGCACTGCAGATCAGCTAATTAAACAAGTCTGCCAACTTGTAAAAATACCAGCAAATTTGTTCCCCAGCTTTCTGGAATATCATATCACCTCCTTCAATTAAAAAGCTTCCTGCCTCCCTGTCTAAGCTATTCACTTTAAAAATGAATTTACTATGCCCACATCCATACCCCATATTATCTCAGCTGTCTGCAGCTCCACTAGGCTCTCTTGAGGCAGAAGAGAATGTAAAAGATTCTTGTCCTGAGGCTGCCATGCTTTGCGAGGGAAACATGAATTCCCATCACTAAAACATTAGGCGTGGAGATAGCCGCAGACCTGGAAAAAGCCTAAACCAGGTCTCCCATTGCTACGACCTGGGAACACTGCTTTCAGCAGGATCCCAGCCTGATTTGGAGCTAAGAGAAATACAGCCCCTTTTGTCCAGAAGGATACAGCTGGTCATTATTGTTAACATTGAGAATGACTCCGATGGAAGGTCAGTGTGAACTCAGTTTCCCTTAAAAGACTAGATGGGTGAAAGAAATTGTCATACCATCCCAAGTCTTGAAGTTAGCTGCCCATTTTCTGACAGCTGTCAAATCTAAAACCAATCAGATGAACCCCCAACATGTTATTTATAATCTTGGCTGCCTTCGTGATACCTTGAACATGTTTCCTGTTGTGCACTTCGTACCGTCAACTCTTGACCCCTCACCTCATTCTCACCTCAGCTTCTCCACCTCCTCACCTCCTTTGATCTCATGATTAATACTGCACAACTCATAATGATACTAGCCCAGCTCTTCACCTCCAGATGAGAATCTACCCCTAAGCTCTGTTTGCCCGGGCTGCCCTAAGACTCAGGAAAATTCTTTAGTCATACCCTAGTCTGATGTAGCCACTTCTGCACCACCAGGCTTTCTCCAGTCCATGAGATAAATAACCAGCACAGCAGGAAAAAAACAAAAAACAAACAAACAAAACACACGAACCTAGAAGTCAGACAGAACTGGGATCAAATCGGCACTATAACTTACGAGCTGTGGGACAGCAGGCAAGTTATTTAACTTCACTCGACCTGTTTTCTTACGTTATAAGGTTACTGTCAGGGGGCCGGCCCCGTGGCGTAGCGGTTAAGTGTGCGTGCTCTGCTGCTGGCGGTCTGGGTTCGGATCCCAGGCGCAGACCAACACACCGCTTGTCAGGCCATGCTGTGGCAGTGTCCCATATAAAGTGGAGGAAGATGGGCACAGATGTTAGCCCAGGGCCAGTCTTCCTCAGCAACAAGAGGAGGGTTGGCATGGATGTTAGCTCAGGGCTGATATTCCTCACAAAAAAAAAAAAAAAAAAAAAAAAAGTTACTGTGATAACTAGGGATAATGCATATAAGGCGCTTAGCCTGGAAACTGGTAGTATGCAGTGAAAGACTGCTATTTATCATAGTTTTAGTAACAATCAGGAACAATATCAACAACAACAACTAGTACTAGTATTAGCAAAGCTTTCAGTTTACAAACTGCATTTTGAAAGGATGAAGAATCTTTCCTTTCATGGCATATAAAGGCACATAAAGATTAAGAAAAGGACTGGTCAGCTTTGAAGGAATTTGATTGAGGACACTAGATATTCATGCTAGAAACTGATGGGCAAATGAATTCACAATTTCTCTTGCCCAGAAAATAAGCTGCTTCAGCTCCTTCTAGCAAAGACTACATATGGAATGCCAGAATTAGTAGTGATCTCAATGAGTAATATAGATGAGTAACCTGAGATCAGGAGAGAGAAATCAAGACCTCATAAATCATATAGCAGAACTCGGACTCAAAGGCACGAACTGGGGGTGGGCAGTATTATACAGATTAAGAAAGTGGGCTCAGGAATCAGGCTTTCTGGATTTGAATCCCAGCTCTACCACTTCCTGGGGAGACTTGGGCAAGTCTTACCTATCTCTCTAGCTCTTAGTTTATCTAAGAAAAAGGGCTGTAAAACAGTATCTTC